CTCCCTCTTTCTCCCTCTTTCTCCCTCTTTCTCCTTTTCTCTCCCTCCCTCACCCTCCCTCTCTCTCCCTCTCCCTCCCTCTCTCTCCCTCTGCCGTCCCTCTCTCTCCCTCTGCCCTCCCTCTCTCTCCCTCTCGCTCCCTCTCGCTCCCTCTCACCTGCCATGATCATGGAGAACCAGCGTGCCTGCATCTCGGACACAGGCATGACGGCGCCGATGGGCTGCACGAGCCCGATGATACTCAGGGTAGCGTGCTTCAGGTCGAGCGGGAACGTGTACTTGTAAAGCCGCACGCCGTTCGCCTCTGTGTTCAGTATCTGTTTGTCGAGCATCGGGAAAGTGTAGTCGTAGCCTGTATCGAGAGAGAGAGATGGGGGGAGTGAGAGAGCGCGATAGAGAGAGGGAGGGAGCGGGAGAGTGAGATAGAGAAAGAGAGAGAGAGAGAGAGAGAGAGAGAGAGAGAGAGAGAGAGAGAGAGAGAGAGAGAGAGGAGAGAGGGGGGGAGTGAGAGAGCGCGATAGAGAGAGGGAGGGAGCGGGAGAGTGAGATAGAGAAAGAGAGAGAGAGAGAGAGAGAGAGNAGAGTAGACGAGAGACGAGTAGAGAGAGAGAGAGAGAGAGAGAGAGAGAGAGACGGGGAAAGAGAGTAAAATTGAGATAATTTATATATACATGTATGATATTGCTGCAATAGCAATGCATGCGAGTCTTGGATGGCACGCATAGATGCATATCACAGTAGAGCAGTACTAAATCCATATCAAATATGGAACGCGATGTTTTTATGTATGTGTTTCTTATATTGATAACAAAATTATAAAGAGATGTTAATTATGAACTGATTAAATGTTTTTTATTGATTAGAATCATTACAAGAGGTGCGTCTGTGTAAACCTATTTATATGTACAGTGATATGCAGAGTAAGAGAGCGAGTAAGAAACAAGATAGGGAGAAAGAGAGAGAGAGAGAGAGAGAGAGAGAGAGAGAGAGGAAGGAGGGCGAGATAGAC